AAAAAGAAAAAAGACTGAATACAAGAAAGCAAACGGAGAGAAAAAAATATGAAGTTTAACAAAAAAACTGAAAATTAAAAATTACTATAACAAGAGAGAAAAAGTAACATTTTTTGTAAGTTACAATTCCGAATAGTTTGCAATTCAAAATTGCACGCCAAATAACGGAAAAGAATTCACTGGGAACAGTAAATGAAAAACTGTAGATATATAATAAGAAGACTAATCACAAAATATCAAACACAGCTTCACTTTGTTAAAAATTAAAAAAAAAAAACCGATAATTAGTGCGAAACTGACACTTAAATATAATAAAAACAATTAAACGTGTATATATATATGTATGTATGTATGTATGTGTATGTATGTATGTATGTATGTATGTATGTATGTATGTAAATCATCTATTAGTGTGACATTACAAACGTACAGACTATTGTATTCATAATTCTCCCACTAGTCCATAAGGATACATCTATAATGCAGGCAGACACACTGACTTGTCCACGCACACATCATCAGCGCACGTATATAAGATGCTTAACGAGCCATAAAAAGACGAAGTAGGTCGTAAATCGGAGGAGGAGAAAGACGGACTAAAAAGGGCAACAGAAGAAATATTGAGGACACTTCATAGAAACTGCTTATTTATTAGCAAACATACAACTTACGTATTTTTCCACTCCTAACCTACCTCCTGACATAAATACATAAATATATAAACATATAGTCCCAATTGTGAATATTTTTCGAATATATTAATACTTTGATGTATGTGTGTGTTTTTTTTAATTAATTGATACTTTTTTGTATGATTATATTTCTGATTAGAAAAAATTCGAATTTTTTTTAATTTGAAAATTTCGAGAGAATTTTTTGATATTATTTATATATTTTTTTTTGAAATCGTCAAGACAACCTAAAAAGAAAGAGAAAGACAGAAGAAAAGAATAAAGCAGAGTCTACAAAAGGTCAGTAATGTTCTGCTATTTTGAATTTTTTAAATTATTTCTATTGAAAATATATGGGTAAAGTAAAAGAGAGTATAAATATCCAAGACATATACGATGGTGGATCAATAAATCCCTAGCCTGAAATATAGTATTATTTGAATTTCGATCGAAAATGTTCATTGTATAATGCTCGATATATGTGATAAATATACAACAATGAATTAATGGAATTAAAAAGGAAAGGGATTATGCTAAAAATAAATAATTGTTTCTTTATTGTAGGCTACAAAGATATTGACTTACCAAAGAAAGAGATGGATATGTGTGCATGTCTATATGAGTGTATGCATGAGACTGAACGAGAGATCTTTAAATTGAACACTTCTATCGAATGTTATTTTTTGATTTTTAGTATAGGGATAATTGTATCCATGGCTAGTTTCTGACTATACACATATATTTACACTTTCTTAATATCTTCAGAAATCGGTAACGATTCATATAAATAAAATATTGAAGCCAGCTAGTTAAGATGTATAAAAAATAATGTCAGATTTAAAATAAAAGCCCATAATTAAAATATCTAATATATACTGGAGGCGAATAATAACAATATACACACTCACATACATACACACACACTCATAATTAAACATACATATATATATATATATATATATATATATATATATATATATATATATATATATGTGTGTGTGTGTGTATATGTATATATATATATATATAATTAAACATACACATATATATATATATATATATATATATATATATATATATATATATATATATATATATATATATATATAAATAAATCTATATTTGTCATTTGTTAATATATAGTGATTGAAGGAGGTGTAGAATATTTCGGAAAGTTCATATCTTGATATTTTAATCGCAAAGGAAACGGAAGTATTTTGGTAATGTTGAAATTGAATTATTGGCATCAAAATATTTTACACACACACACAAACAGACGTGCACGCGCGCATACACATATATACATGTGTGTGTGTGTGTGTGTGTGTGTGTGTGTGTGTGTGTGTGTGTGTGGTGCTTGATGTAAGGTGATGGATAAATATTGAATCATGCAGATCATTTTTTGTAAATTCGTTTTTTGTCGTGTTTCTCTGCTACTGAATGTGTACCCATCTTAAACATCAGTTATGTCAATAATGTTATCGCTGTTTGGATCTGTTCATCAGCAAAATCTCCGTCATTGTCAATGCACTTAATTCAGCGACAAATATTAATCACACAAATGAAATATCAGACTTGACAATTCTTGTTGAAAATTCAACTCGAAACTACGTATTAAGCTGCTGTTTACTGATACATCGCCATACCTGCACACACACACGTGCACGTGTGTGCATATGTGTGTGTGTATGTGTGTGTGTATGTGTGTGTTGGTTTTATTGAAAACCAAACATTTTTGTGTTTAAGATTTTTTAAAATATTTTACTACGGTTCTGTCCATTTTTATACTTTCAGGGGAGAAATTGAACATAAAACATTCAATATCTACTGGATGGTTTCGTTTTTATAAAACATTATCAAATAATTTTATTGTGTTTGTCTACAGATATTCATTGTTCTTTTTTTTGTGATTTAGTACTGCCATTGGGTATCATAGACACAACGATATTAGCTCACATTAAAAGAAATATTTGATAATTTCTTTCGAAAAAAAAGAAAGCTCTCAGAAAAAAAATTGAAATTTTTTATTCAAATTCACCCTGGAAGATAATAAAAAGATCCGAACTGTAGAAAGTTTAAATAATAAAAAAAAAAAATAAACAAATAATTTCTTTCGTTTCAACTGAATATATAAATGATATATAGATGCCAAACACACCGAATGTATGTGTATGTTTTTGTGTGTATGCTTGTTCTAAATCTATCTATCAATGAATGGATAGAAACGTAGAAAAATAACATGTTCAGTTAAAATGATACGGAAATATTTTTTTTCACTTTTATTCAGTCAATACTAATTAAATTTAATCTATTTTAATTGTCCCATATTTAGTTTTTATTGTCAAAAATCAATTGTAAAAACTGCGCAGGGAAGGAATTTCCAAACGTCTTTCGACATATAAATTATAGAACCTTTTAAAAATGATGAATGTGCGTAAATGGATGAAAATGCATAAGTATCATTTCCTGTCTGTTAATGAATTTCAACCACACTTACATATTTCCGTCATATAGCGTTTCACCTTGTTGAACTTTTTGTTTTTATTTCTCTCTCTCTCTCTCTCTCTCTCTCTCTCTCTCTCTCTCTCTCTCTCTCTCTCTTTCACTCCCGCTATTTACTTTTCCTTCTTCTTTTCCTTCTCTCTCCTCCCCATACGCTTTCACTCTTTTTTTTTCTGACATTATTTTTTTTCTTATTGCCACCCTAAGTTTCATTTATTCACCTTTTTTTTTGTTGTTTGTGTCTTCGGCTTTTTATTCTTCTTTAAGTTTTATTGTTACCGCACGTTGTTTTATGACATGTCACCTGTCTTGTTGATGTAAGTTTAAGAGAGTGTTAATGTCTCCCTGTGATAGTCGAGTCGTTCTGAGTCGGAAACTGTTCTCCTGATTGACTTATTGTCAAGTCTGTGTATATATATATATATATATATATATATATATATATATATATATATATATATATATATATATATATATCAGTCCCTGTGTTTATGCCTCTGTGCGCGTGTTTTTATATGTGCACTGACTACGTGACTATACCTGTGTTTGGATATTTATTAAGATGTGTTTATGTGGGTGCACATGATAATTAGCCTTTGATCTGACTCTAAAAGTTAATGATTACATTGAAAAATGAGTTGATGTATTTATTACGCGCATATAAAATAGTGCACATTTGTTCTCTGTGTGTGTCATACGTAAACTGAAGCATGCTTGCGGATGTGTGCACACCGTAATCACACTCACACATACTTGCGAGCACACACACACACAAACACACATATAGCTGGCAACACGTATTATATATATATATATATATATATATATATATATATATATATATATATATATATACACATATATATATATATATATATATATATATATCAGTCGAAGTGCAGTTGAAATGCACTGAAACGAGGTTGCATGTTTGTAGTGAGTAAAATGGTTTTTATCTCTATGATAAAATTATAATAAGTAAATGATTATCGCTCTACTATCGGTATCGAGCCCTCTTTTTGGATTAATGCTGTGAACATTGAATTTATATAATTACTTACGTTCTCATTACATCGGATATATATATATATATATATATATATATATATATATATATATATATATATATATATATATATATATATATATATATATATATATATATATTCGAAAAAAAACACATATACACACACACATATATATATAAACTCCTGCTTTCTCAAGTGAAGATTGCTCAGTGGTAGAAACTCTGACTGGCACCAAATCGGTTGGGTTTCGAATAACATATGTATGTAAAATAACGAAATCTCTTTGCTAACAAAATTTTTAAGGTGCATTAACCTACCAATCACTTGATGAATGTTATGATCCTTGTTTTCTAAATTTATAAGCTGTATAATGTCTTTTTTAAATAGGCAAGTACGTTCGACTGTACATTCATTTATATATATATATATATATATAGAGAGAGAGAGAGAGAGAGAGAGAGAGAGAGATGCTTGTGTTTGTTTAGATTAGGGGGTTTTAACATTCGAATTTGAGATTGATATTGACAGCTAAACTTACGTCTGCATATCGGATGATCGAATTGAAATTCGGTTTATTAATCCAATAATAGACAAGGAAAAAAATCGATGCACAGACACAAACACACACACACGCATACGCGCGTGCACACACGCACAAACAAACACATACACACGCACACGCACACACACATATATATATATGCATCTGTTCAAACTTTCTCATTTTTCACTATTCATCAATATTTGATCGAAAAACACATATACACATACACGACTTCGATTCGTAGCAAGATTGAAACTATGTTAGATAGATAGATAGATAGATAGATAGATAGATAGATAGATAGATAGATAGATAATGATCAGCCTGCGATAGATAGATAGATAGATAGATAGATAGATAGATAGATAGATAGATAGATAGATAGATAGATAGATAGATAGCGCGTAACCTATTACATCTCGTCGAATGTTTCATGGATAGGAATCTTTGAAGGGATGTACTTGCTTGCCGATAAAAATATATATATATTTCCTATCCCGCCTTACACCTGACAATTGTTGTGACAAAAAAATTCTATTTCTTCTGTGAAGCAGATCTATGTTTGTTTATAAAATATACCCACTTAGTTTTGACTAGGGATTTATAGTGACGTTTTAGTTTCTCATCAGTAGTTTCTTATTGTCATTTTATTACAATCTATCCATTTCAAACTGTTTAACGCGTCATAAAATTGTCGAATGCTTCTTTTCTCCCGTAAATAAAGCCATTCCGTCAAGAGAGACTTGGGGGAAATGCGAAGGGCTTTCAAGTTAATATTGCTAAAGAGAAAAGGCGTAAATATATCATAAAAAAGGGAGAAATAAATATATAAGTATGAGAATGAATGAGAGAGAAAGAGAGAGAGAAAATCAAAAGAGAATGATTTGTTTTTAAGCAGAAGTTGAAACCAAGATATCCTGAGAGAGTGAGAGAAAGAAGAAGAAGAAGAAGAAGAAGAAGAAGAAGATAGTGTATTCCACTAGTTGATAATTACAGAAACAAAAAAAAGTGAAGAAGAATAAGATAGCAATTTACAAACTGAGGAAATGAATTATAGGCGAATGTATGAAAAGAAATAAAGCGTAAGACATTCTCAGCACTACTTGTGGGCAGTGGGGTGCTTCAGCACACTAAGGTTTTGCTGGAACAAAACAAAAAAGTAACTTTTTCTTCTTGGCCTCAAACGATGACAAGGCTATTGAGCTGGGCTCTATCATTTTTCAAAAGTCATTACCGCCAATGATTTTTAAAATAAATGATAAAACTTCATTTTTCGTCCGAAACATTAACACCTATGTATATATGCAAAACGTCTCCAGGCTTCATTAGAGAAATTAAGTACCAGCAAACAACAGAACGTATATATTCAAAAATCAAGATCTATTTAAAAATACGATAATAGATCGAATAAATATTCAATTTCGTAAATCAGATGAAAAATATTGAATAAACGTAGAAGCTGGTTTAACTCTCCCCATATTTAACATTTCATGGGCACCTCGGCCTGGTGTAATGGTTGTATATACTCATTGGAGATCTTTTTAATTTGTTGTTTTATTCCTCCCTCCCTCCCCCACATACGACGATTTGTACATATGGGGACTATTTAGGTTTTTCATTAAGACATTGATGTATTATGGTGGTTGTAGTAAGAGAGTTTAGTAAGAATGTTTTGTTGTGGTGTTAGGAATATTGTTTGTATGCTTGGGTCAGTGCTTGTGGCTAGCTAAGTTTAAAATTAAGACAGATGAAGACCGTCCTTTTCCCCATCCCCCTTTTTAGGCCTTGTGCCACATTTTCTGTATATTTCACAGAAATAAATATTGTAAATGGTTAGCAATCTTGTCTTACTAGAATAACTACGTCTGAGTAGTGAGTTCGATACTCACTGGGTGCCCCATATTTTCGGCCTTTTGCCACATCTAATCTACGCTTGGAAAATCTTTATATTTAACATCTCATTTAGTCTCACGCACTTTTTTTATTTTGTCGTGCCATTTCTGTAAAATGAAAAAAAGAAAATCTTCAGTGGAATCTGAGAAAGAGGACAGAGGGGAAAAAGGAAAGATTGAATAGAAAATAAGAAAAAACAGAGAGGTTTCAAATAGAAATAGAAAAGAAAATCATACCGAAAATGAAAGAGAATTATTTACATTACTTACATACTTATTCTAATTGTTTTTGTCATTATCCCAACGTTTCATTTGTTGTCCCTTCGGACCTTCTTCAGGGGATTTCGAACTGAACACTTTATTTAATCTATCGCGTTAGTTGTTCTTGTTCCGTTGCATATATTTCGGAGTACCTCTTCTTAAACTTATTTAATAATGACCAGTTACTACTTATCCTGTTTTCACTGAATATGATTTTAAAATACTTGACACATGAATTGAACTCACAATTAAAATACCACTAAATTTACAGATCATCGCATGAATCTCCTAGCCAGTTATTCTGTAATCACAGAGTGATAAATACCTGAAGAAGGCTGGAGAGCGCAACGGCTAAAACATGACTATAATAACAACAAAGATAAGGACATTAGTCCGAAATTTAAATAGTGGAAATAAGGATCTCCTCATCTGAAGAATTCAGATAGAAAAAGAAGAAATTTATTTAATAAATTTGAAAAAGGTGAAAATAAAAAAAAAAACCCTGAAAAGTTGAGTATAAAAAATTGAAAAAGATAAAATTTGAAAAGAAAAAAGGAATTGGCGAAAATATACATTTCCTAAAATTCTTTTTCAAAAATCTCCGAAGAAGTTTAAATTAAAATGAAACTTTTTAATTTTATAAACGTTACGTATTTGTTTCCTATCCTATCATATCGTCGGATTTTATTCCGTATATGATTCTAATTCAATATGAAATATTTATATACAACTGAACAAGAGCAAGTTAGTTGAACAAGCTTCGTCAGAGATCTAGTCCATCAGTTCCCCATCCTATTACAATAACCTTGTGCCAAATTAAACTGAGTCAATTAAAATAACTTTTGCCTTACGACTGAGTTGGATACATTTTTCTCCTGAGCGCCAATCGTTTGCCTTCGAGTTTAGATAACTAGATACCGGCCAGTATCTTGCAAGTTGACTTTTATTGCAATAAGGACATTCTCACGTGGTGGGCCGACGCAATACAATCTTTCTTTCTTAATCCTTATGTTAATTGTAAAAGTAAGAGTAAAGAAAGCGGGAAGGTCTCGATATATAAAGAAAAAAAAATAAAGAAATGATAACAAATTAAGTAAAACTGCGAAATTATTTTAATATCAGACCTTGAAGTAAAGAAAGAAAGTTCAATTGAATAAAAATGAAAGGCTAATGTGTATTGCGAGTAACAAGAGTGTGGGCGGGGGTGGTTGAGACGTCGTTGCAAATGACGTCGTTGCAAAGACGATAGAATAAATGACAAATGGGGAAATCGAAAAAGAAATCATTCTTCATGCATTTGCGTCCTCTGCTTAATATATTTTCTCTTTTCCTTTCGCTTTTACTGACTTCGCTCTCTAACTTTACACAACACTCTATCTCACTCTCTCATATACCCAAAGCGATACTCTCTCTCACACACTCTTGCTCACCCTCTCTATTATTTCTTTATTCTTTCTTTTTCTATTAATGGTTTCAGTTATTTTGTCTCTTTCTTTCTTCTCTTCGTTTCCGTTTTCATTTCTTTCTTACACATAAATGGTATCTCGCCCTGTCACCAACTGAATCTTTATCTCTCTTTTTTCTCTTGTATAACCTTCTATTCACTCTATCTCCCCCTCTGTCTCCCCCTCTCTCTTGTTGTGCAATGTAAAGCGTATAATTAGATAAGGAGTGGGAAGATAAATTCTAAAAGACAGAGAGGGAGATTAAACACTTTTGAACACTTTAGAAGGCAAAATCGGGTAGGTAAGAAAGAAAAAAAAGAAAGAAAAACCTGAAAAAAAATTAAGGAAAGAGAAAGGGACATTTAAAAAAAAGTAAGCAAGAAAACAAGAAGAAAGAAATACATAAAATGAAGAGAAAATAAAAAATATGAATCAATGTAATGAAGTGAAAAATGAACATTATAATAATGCAAGAAAAATATTAGGGGGAAAAATACATATATATATATATATATATATATATACAGAGAGAGAGAGAGAGAGAATAATAATAAGGAGAGAGTGGGAAATTTTCAAAACAAAAAGAAGGAAGAAATGAACTAAAAAGAAGGGAGAAAAGTTTTAAAATGTGAAAAATAATAAGCGTGAAAAGAAAGAAAGAAAAATGATAACAATATACAAAATGAAGAAAAGTTGAAATGACGCAGAAGAAGGCATTAGTATAAAAACAGTGAAAAGAAAGAAAGAAAGAAAAGAGAGAGAGAAGGGCTTGAACAAATGCAATGTTGTTTGAGATGAAGAATGAAAGTGAGTCATTGCACATAAAAAAGAGACAAGCAAAAATAGAGAGTGGGGGAAAAGAGAATAGGATAGAAAGAAACGAAGTGATGAAGGCATAGGAGGAAATTAATGAAATTAGTCAAAACTTGGTATTTCTCCTTTTATTTCAGTGATACTAAGCGACGCCACTCAGTTGACTGACGATCCCAAAATTTAATAATTTTAAGTCAGAATATCGTAATGACAACAAATTACTGGTAACAAAAAAAATTGTTAGCGTTAAGGCCTGCCTCAAGGATAACATATCATTCATACCTTCAGTATTTGTGTTCGTACCCAGGAAAAAATAACATGAATTGTAGGATTGGCGCAGTACATTCTTACTACCTTCATTACACGGATTTGAGTCGTATTATTAATTAAGGAGAAAATATATTTGTAAATAAGAATTAATCAGTGGGAGTGTGTTGAAGGGCACATGTAAAAAAAATGAGTGTGATAAAGATAGATAGAGAGTGCGTGTGTGGGGGGAGAGAGAATGTGTCTGTGTGAGTGAGACAGAGAGAGAGAGAGCGAGAGGAGTAACGAGAATGAAAGAAAGTGTTTGTATGCACGAGGTAGGGGGTAGACAAAAAGTAATCAGTGAGAAAATGATAGAGATGGACAGAGAGTGTGTGAGAGAGAGGTAACGAAAAAGAAAGTCTGTGCGCGTGAGAGTTGGCGCGAGATAAAAATGAAATAAGTAGGAGCAATTGAATAAAAGATGTACATACACATATGTGTATATAATATACACACATATATATATATATAAATACACACACACATATATATATATATATATATATATATATATATATATATATATATATATATATATATATATATATTATACACAGGTGCGCGCGCACACAGAGATACACACACACACACAGAGAAAGCGAGAGAGCGTGTGTGTTTACACATGTATTGTAGGTGGTGTCCGTCATTTATTAAACCAGTGTCTATCGGAGATTTAATCAATTTTCGAATCTTTACGAATATTCACGGGTTTCGCGTTTAAATACTAGTTTTATTTTATCTATACTTGGTGCCAAATTAATCTAACCTTGTGTCAGACTGAGTTAGTAAATAAACTATAGAAACCGGTTATCATTTCCGGGCAGTTAAACTGGCGGCTACCGTATTTAAACCTAAATTTAACACAAAAAAAGAAAAAGAAAAAGAAACTCTTTAGCATACAGACCGCTGCACTCACCCCTTATTCGCGCGTTGGCCAACGTAAGCTGATAGAAAGCAGCTGAGGGAGTAGAAGAGTGTGAATGCAAGAGAGAGGGAGAGAGAGAGAGAGAGAGAGAGAGAGAGAGTGGTGGGGTTAGAGAGGAGATAAGGAATACTGAAGGGAGAAATATTGAGCAAAGCGAGGTAGTTGGAAGGGAGATGAAGAAGAAGTGGGGGATGAATTAATTAAGATGTCAGCGTTGAATGGAAGAGGAGGGTGAACAGAAAATAAGTTGAAGGCAAATAGGCGGAGTTGGGAAGAAAGGTAAATAAAAATATGCTTTTTACCTTGCCTCATAATGCAAACATTTGTATGAAAAAAGACGAAAATACAAAGAATTCTAAATTGTATTTTTTTTTTTGGTTTTGTTTTTAGTTTATTATATACGTGTGTGCGCGCGGCCTTGTTTTGTATGGCCCTTACTTTTTTTCGTGTCTTTTTTAGAATGTTGGCAATCATGGATTTCCACAACTTCCTGTGTTTTGTTGTTCTAAGTAATTCTGCCTCTTTATCAGCACTTTAAGTTTTTGTAGTCTTTTTTCTGTAATTTATTTACCCTCACTAATAGATATTGGTAACATTTCACTAGAAATAAATACATTTTTTAGTTATGATAAACACATTTTGAGGTTATTTCCTCATATTTTTCCTTCTGTAGAGTAATTTGCTGCTGTGAGGTTTGTTCTGTTTTGGAAAAAGATGAATGAATAATTAATTTTACTTTAGTAGTTGAATTGCAAGTAATAAGTATTTCAAATATTTCTAACTAGTATTTTGAAAGCCAAGTTGAAATTATTAACAACTTTGATTATATTTAATTAAAGTAGTATAAATGAAAAAAATGGTGCTCAAACAATAATATCACTGACACACACATGCATACATGCACATATACATACATTCATAAATACTTACGCACACACACGCGCGCGCGCACACACATGAATATATTTGTAAAGTGACGGTTATTATAGTGAAATAATAGTGATTGGGGTATAATAAATTTGGTACCATTAGAGAAAAGAAATACTAAAATATACAGCGATAGAAAATAAAATTACATAAATATATTTGACTGCTCGCCAGAAAATAATAAACATAAAATATTTATTCCAGTCCAAAAAAGTTATTTTCATTTTCTTAAGTTGCTATGAGAAAGAACTCAATTTGTACTTATTTTTAAAAAAAAGTCAGTTGTTTTACTTTATTTCGTATTATTTTTTCTTTTCAGCAATTATCAAATTTTCTACGTTTAAAATATTATCATTTAAGTTAACAAACTACTGTAAAATTCGGAATATAATCCTTAGAAATCATAATTACCACAATCCAACGTGTATGCATATCATTTCATATCAGTACCTTTTTTTCTTTTTTCTTTTTTCTTTTTGCTCTATATTCTTCATCTGAGGAATAAAACTTGGATTTTGTGGAGAACATCTAACTGTTGGTTCTCAAAAGGTTGGGAGAACTTGCATATAATGGCATATTTCTTGTAAACATTCTTTTTGCCGTTGTATTTTTGAAGTCTCTATTTTCTCCAAATTAACAGATCTTCGTTCCATATTCAGTTAATTAATATCTATAATTGTTTCAAAGTTGGTTTTAAAACGTCAATTCCTAATATAATATGTGAAAACGAAGAAAAGGATAATTAAAAGGTGTTTAAAAATCGATAGAGGAATTGAAAATTTATAAATAAAAAAAGAGAGAAATTATTTTGTAGACGGATCGATATGCAGCTTTTCCTTACTGCAATATACACGAGGATGCAAAAGTAGGTATACAGTAATGAAAAAGAATTGTGCGCACAAAACTTATTGTATTGATTATACAAACATCAATAATAAAATAACACTATTAAACATATCAATACCTCAAATGTTCTAACGGTTTGACTCCGTCACTCATATACTTTTTTTACGTATAAAACATTTATTATTATTGCTAAAAAAGATTATGAAAATAAAAATAAAAATATTAAAATGATTTTAATGAATTAAATGAATCCAAGAACCACCATTAAAATACTGGTAATGCTGGTATAAGGCATACATTATACCTATATATATATATATATATATATATATATATATATATATATATATATATATATATATATATATATATATATATATATATATATGTATATATATATATATATATATACATATACATATATATATATATACATGTATATATATATGTATGTATATATATATATATATACATATACATATATACATGTACATATATATATATATATATATATATATATATACATATATATATATATATATATATATATTATTTTATTTGCTTTTTTGTACATTTGTTTTGCTTTTTTGATTTTTTCAGAAAATAAATCCCATTCAGGGACGAAAATAAAGACTGACTGTTCATAAATCTGATATCTTGGAAATATTGCATTTAAATATCTAAATATCTAGTGTTACTTCATCTGTTTGATTGAAATGATATGAGCCTGAATAGAAGTGCTTCTCTTCTTCAATTTCTGTTAAATTGCAGTTTATTATTACCAATACTTTTATTATTTCATCAACTATAATTTTCCTTTTCACCTTTTTTTTTTCTCTCTTCCTGGCCTCTCCAT